TAGTTTATAGAAGTCTAATCTACTGTACCTAGGTAGGTATGAAGATATCGGTGAATGGATGTAATAGGTAACTATCTAGTACATACCTACATGTAATAATTGATGCCTGCTAGTCTAATAGTTAATGCGATAGTAATGGATCAATTAAAAGGGGTTAGTCTGTCGTGTTAAGCCTTAGAAGTTAGAAGAAGAAAAAAGTTTGCTGGCCCGCTAGAGGTATGTATGTACTATGTATTGGCAATTTCAACAAAAACATTCGCCGCTGCCTGCAAAATCTTCCAGTACAGATTGAACGATCGACGCGTACAAACATGATCGGCCCGTCTCGAACGGAACTCTCAACCAATCATGTTTACGTATTAGATAAACTGCCGCTTAAAAGGTCAACGGCGCCGGGGCCGGGGCCGTTAAAGTCCCCATTCTTTCTCGGCCCTAGATCCCAAGTCGACATAAGTCAGCGACCAAGCCATGTTAGGGGTCGCATCGTATTATCGCTTAACCAGTTCCAAATTCCATTTCTTCTATTGCATTAGTTTTCCCGCCGACCTTTACCCGTTTGATCATTATCTCCTCCTATCAAATATTTTTAAGGCTGCGACTTTACCAATTAGCGGTTTTAAAAAGTGTGCATTAATTATGGTAACTGGGTCATTCGCCTTCGGACCAAGGGATTGTGAATCCGGAATCTTGACGCTTCCCGGATCCGAGATATTATGCGACATGAGGGGAACAAAGGCCACCGACTTATTAGTCTCATATGTAGGTACCTAGGTAGGTATGAATACGAAATACGAAATGGAGCCCGAAATGAATAAGACAACCATAATTGAAAACAATACCTCGGTGACGGACAGGTCTTAGTCCCAATTGGGTTCTAGGCAATCTAAGTGCCGAACAAGACATGGAGATACCTAATTCATGCTATGCTGGAATAGCTACACCAAATGTGGGACATGATATGGACTTGTGGCACCTCAACTGCCACTTTGCTCATCGTACTGCTTGAACAACTCATGCATCTCCTCCATTCTCGCCAACCCATCATGAAGTCGGGGCCAGTCCTGGTCATCAGGAAGATTGCCAGCAGGCTTGCCATTCTCCCACCAATGCGCAAACCGTTCATACAAAATAGCCACTATTCTAGAACGATAAGGAAGTTCCTTTTGCCACTCCTCCCAGTCCCATTCTACATCAACCACCTCGTTCGAAACATGGTCATGGATCTTAATTTCGATTGGCTCCCTGTAGGAGTCCGAATGCACGTATGCACCATTAGCGGTGACCATGATCTCGCCTATCTCGCCGTTGATGCTCCACACGAAACCTGGGGTACCTTTAAACTGGTGCCCACTTCTGTAGGTGAAAGATAACGTCGCATCTTCGGCGATAGCTGCTTTCCCCTTGGCCAGTTTACCGTGGATCGCGAGGAAATCCGGTACGTCAGTGCGTGTCTCCCCTATCTGAAGGTTATCTTTACCCATAATCTTGATAACTGGTCGTTGTATCTGCATTCGGCTTTGGAATGACGAGAATTCTCCGAGGATTTCATGTACGTAATCGATCGTATGGCCATAAGCAATCGTAATCGGGTTGCCTCCCACGCTACGTTCTACGAAATAGGAGAGGCCGTCTGGCAAGGTGTCATTTGGCAGCAGATTGCCGTAGGCACGGATGTCGCTGCTCAACACCTGGCCTATGCGCCTAGACTTTAGAATTTCCTTGAGTTTCAGGACAATGGGTGAGATGCGCCCCTGAAGTCCAATGATACTGTTATCCAGACGCTCTTGGTCCGTCAGAGAAGCAGCCTGGTCGAAGTCTTCTGCCAGAGGCCATTCTACATAAACAGCCTTCCCAGCACGCAGAGAAGGACCTGTTGTCGAACTATGGGTATCGACTCGCGTGCAGCAGACGACTAAGTCGACATCCGGATCAGAAGCTAACGTGTCTGGGTCTCCGTGGGTCTTTACTTCTGGGGGAAGCGTGAAGTATTCTTTGGCAGCCTCTGCGGCGGCGACGCTTGAGTTAAGCAAGGCTACAATCTTGTAATGAGATGTTCCGCGTGGAGAGAGAAGGTAAGGCAGATGGCCCTCAGCTGCCCATGATGTCTTTGCAGAGGAAGAGAGACCAATGATGGCGACACGGATGGGAGACATCTTGATAGAATGACGATTGTAATGCTGAGTCCCAAGAGACTTGAAAGCAACTCTCGGACATGCTCGTTTTATAACCATTTTAGCCATTGTGAAGCTATTAGAAATCACAGCTTATAGTCGTGATGATGACTAACTGATGTTGAAGAGCGCTACAGTGTTTACACTGTACGTGAGGACTCGGATGGTAGTAAAATCGTAGCGGACAACATGTGCGAATAGCACGTTCTGTCCGTTTTGGGTAAATGGTCCCCTTGCTCACATTAGCTTAGCTCCCTACCTGAATACATAATTATTGTACATGCATCACACCAAGCTTCAGCGAAAAGGAAATACGCTCAGACTAAAATGGAAACAAACTGAAGGAGAGACATGATCTCGACCTGAATAGCCCTGGTAACAGTTCTCTTAGGAAATGGCTCCTAACAGTCTCTGCCCCAACCCAACTGACGATTCACCTCATTCATCGCACCGATTCCAGCTCTGAACAAGCCGACGGCGCCATCGACGGTCGCATTGCCAGATTCGAACGTTGGCTCAGGCTCCATCGCCCGTCTCAAGTCTTCCTGATCTAGTACAGCCTGTCGCTTCTGCAACACGGCCTTGCTAATCGCGCGTCCCCACATGTTATACCACTGATCCTCGCTGATGCTCACGTATTCCTTGGTGCCGCCCGGTGCCATTCTCGAGAAGGGCCACTCGGCGACGGCAACCTCCCATCTCTTTGTTCGCAGCCACAAGTACGGCCAGGTGAAGATGAAGAGGAGAGTGCATGCGAACAGCATCTGGATCCACGCAGTCAAGCGCCAGTGGTTGATCTTTGCCTCGTTGTAGCATTCGATCAGAGAACCCTTCGTGATAAGCTCAATTCGGAGATGACCACGGTAGTTGGTCTCGTTGACCATGGTGCGCAACCGGTTCTTGATGCGCTCTTCGTCGAACCCCACCATTCTTCGATGAAGGGCGAAAACCTTCAAGCCAGCATGGCTAGCCGCGTATCGATGACACCATTCTCGCAATGTAGGCTTCGGATCGCCGCCGACTTCGATGTGCTGATTCGAACCCACGGCACGTTTCCGCAGAATAGTACCTCGTCGGGTCTTTTCACCATTCTCGACGGTGCGTAAGTGATTCCACGATCGACGGAATTGAGCGTCCGAATATAGGTAAGGCGTCAACTCCACAGAGACATCGAAGTCGGTAACAGTGTTTTTCTCCGTCTTGCCTTTGCTATCTCTCGTCGTCTCGGTATGGGTTCCCACAAGCTTGATAAAAGGTCGAGGAGGAATTGCAGCGAGCTGTGTAATGTGGTCTTCGAGATCCCCTGGGAATTGTAGACTTTGGGAAATCCAAGATTCATTACCAGTATTGAGGTCTTCGAAGAAGGTAGCATCTTCTACGAATGGTCGCGAGGCTACAGCTCGGGCACTGGCCGGTGCAGGAGGGGCGGGGGTAGTTGGGAGCAAGGACGCGGATTCGGACTCGCTGTAGTTTGGCGGTAAATCGTCGATAGAAAGCTCAGGAGCGTCGAACTCATCAAGACCATTGAAGGTTTCTCTGGAACTCTCGCCTGGATTGGTATGTAGCGAGAGGGCATCGTCGGCTGTTGCCTTGCCGCCTTGTTCTTTGGAAGGATTTCCCATTGCTTGCGAGGGAATAAATACCTATATAAGTATTCAAGGGAGGTAAACAAGAAACAGTGATGGTGTTAATAACTTCCAGCTTGTTATACTCCTACTTGAGTCTACTCTCCAACTTCTGGTTCAAAAAGCTCTGAAATGTTTTAGAGTTCACAATTCTTCAGCCTCAGCCCAGCTGAATGGAAAATCGGGCCATTTCCAAAAGACCCCTGAAGCCATCTAAGTCATTTCATGTGATTTGATTGGCCACTTTGTCTAGGTGGAACACACCCCGCAACCCTTAATTCTAAATCTAGAAGCTTATGTAAAAGGGCTTCACACGGAAGACTTTGTCTTTCTACACCATCTAATGATTCAATTTCTCAATCATACATTTTATATTCCATCAACTTATTAGATCGACTATCCAATGTGTCTCTTATGCTAGTGTTTGTCGCCAGCCAGGAAATGAGCTTTGGAGTATAGGATTCTTGGCTTAGACACCTTGCAAAACATCGCGGGGCTTAGAAGACGCATATTCAGTACGGCAATAAAGCCAACGTACAGTGTATCAAACTAAAACTATCATCGAAATTCTCCAGTCCTACGTCCTACCCTGTTCCTATTACCCAGTAGACCTACTATCCATCGAGTGGGACCACTAAGACGCCGACGTATAGAGCTCAGCCCTCCAGCTAAAAGCACCACGACGGATATTCGACAAAGAGCAAAAACATCGGATGAGAGGCGACAAAAAAATATCATGACAAGAGTGGGACTTGAACCCACGCGGATTGCTCCATGAGGAATTAGATGCTAAGATTGTGACCTTAACCTCACGCCATAACCAACTCGGCCATCTTGCCCTGGTACGCCTAGACGGTGGTGATTGATGCCAGAAGTTCTGTTGAACTTCCTCATACATTCTAAACTACGATATCATGTAAGTGAATATGCTGCATTTGACATAATACGTAGGTCCTTTGGGTGTAGTGTATTTAAGTATTGACTGTTCATTAGATGCGTATTGTGAGATGTCTCACAGGATATGGTTCTAGAAGAAAAGGTCTTGTTGGGAGGTCAAGATGATATACTACTCTATAACACTGATTGAAGCAACTGGAGGTATCAAAAGTATCAAACTCGAGTTATTTCTTAACAAACGGATAGCAGCTTACCAAAAATGCAATCCTAAAAAGGATGCAACCACCACTCGATCAGGAAAAATGCATGCCCAACACAGGAGTCGAACCTGTTGCCTCCTCATTACTTCATCCTCATATGGAAGCATATTCAGACGATATACTAGTGAGGCGCTCTACCGGTGAGCTAGTCGGGCTAGTTTGCGCGTTCGTTGACTTGGGGATGAGATTATTTATCCTCTTGCAATAAATATAATAGCCTCAATTTATCTTCCAAGTGATACAGAGTCAACTTTGAACCAAAGGGAAGATTCATCTTTGACGAGACTGGTGAGTTTGGGACCACTGTGCGAACCACATCCCACGCTGTACCTACATCTGAGGGCTATCACTGTCTTGTGATAACCCAGTAAATGTGGTACACAATTCATGAAACATGCCCAAATAAGCAATCATTCTGTCTCAAAACCTAGTCAAATACGGCCGTCGGCTTGTGTCACTTATATTTCCTCTTACACACAAAGTGTCCCATTCGTACCACAATACCATCATATCCCGGAACCTGAGGTGAAGGGTCTAGCTTAAAGGAGAACATCAACGGGTGGGAAATCAAGTATACGTGACCGCCCAGAAAGCCACCACTTCGACCACATACCGAGCTTTCTCCTAACAAGAGACCGAATCCCTAGAGACTTGAACCAAAAAGCAAACCTGCATAGCCTATAGTCGTAGGATTGCCTCCTAGGGAAACCCCACGATGGCTTAGACTAGTTATATCACCGGCCTTAGGGCAGAATGCGACTTGTCGTTGGCCCTATTCCACGGTTGGATGTCGAGCGGTACCAAGGTGTAACGGCAGTTTCACTTTCTCCAGGATATTATGTCACCATGCATGTAACTGCATGGTGGCTATAACCTGGGGTAGTGCAGGCCCACCACCTTATTTCGATGTGTGTAGGACCTCGCGACCTTGGCAGCTTGGGATACTCTTTGCCTTATAGGGCACGATAATGAATGGCCAATCGATGAGTTTCCAACGCTGACAGATGTCAGCGTGATAGGTGAACATAGCTGCAAAACATACAGCATGAAGGGTGTCTCCTCTAAACTCAAGACACGAACCGGTCTGCCATCACGGGTACCGGAGCCATCATAGCTGGCAACACGACATAACGTGGGGGCCGAGAACCCTATAGCACCATTGTTGGTCAATCAGATATGCAGGCCACGCTCCAAATTGTCTTGGAGGATACTCGGTCTAGGCCTTCACCACCTACCTCATAGGAATCTAGTATTGCTTCCAATATGAACAAGAGAAGATGGATTTGTGAAAGGGTTGCGAAATCGGTCTCCTCGCATCACAAGACTGCAGCTTGATAATATAAACTTACTATCAAAATAAATAGGAAGCCATTTATTCCGAATCTCATCCCTAACAGAACGCGACGTGATATGGCCCTGAGTGGGGGATGGGATATGTTTCGGCTCCAGCCCTTTAGAAAAAGCAAACAGGTGTGTTCGTCGTCATGATGATCTATAGGTCAACTGCCTCCTAGGTAGTATGCAGCGGAACATATCGAATCAATCCGAGCTGCCCACCTCTCTCATAGGCTCGCTGTACGGCGCCCTATTTCAAGCATTCAAAATAAGTCTAACCTTGGCTCGGGTTTGATATTGGCCCCTTTCCTGGAATGGTGCCGGGCCCATGACTCGAATTGGCCGGAGAGAAAAAATCACGGGTTGTTCGCTGCAGTTGCTACTCCAACTCCCCTCGCCGAGCGCAGCCACTCGATGCAACGAGGATAGTTCTGCATCTGAAGTAGGACAGGTAGGATCGTCAGTGATAATTTCGTCGGCAGTTCAGCATCGTGATATTTGAAATGACTGGCGACGCGTTGCCGATCGACTATAATCTACTCCAGAAAATGGGGGGGGTTCTCCTCTCGGCTTGTACGGTTCGGGATAGAAGACCTAGAACCAAGGAACGTTGGCATCAGTTAGTGCATCTCGTACTCTTGAGCAGGCGACACGTCCCGAGAAGATGATTGGTGCCCGGATTCCATGGGACAGCTTGGAGGACGCGAAGCCCCTAACCGTACTAACAAGAACTATTCTGGTCAGCCGAAAGGTCAGCAATGAACGCTAAGGTACGGCATGCCACTCATTGGTGCAAGTTGCCTATGCAAAGTGCTGCTCTTGGATAGATGTAGACGAGCTATAATAAATATCCACCTTGGAAACTGCGGGGAAGCATGGGCTGCATACAAGCTGACGGGTATTTGACCTCACAGTAGCTTCCACCCCGCATTCTGGCATGCCGTCTTGCATATCAGCTGCATCGACTAGTGGCCGATAGACGTATAGGTATATGCAGAGCCAATGCTGTGAGGTAGAATGACAGGGGTAGAGTAACCACAAGGCTGTGAAGAACTTCCCGAGCCTCACCGAGATGCCGCTCCTAGGCGACATCACTTATACTTCCCCTTATGTGTCGATTCGAGTCGGGACGCCGGTACCTATTACCATGCACTCGTCACGATTGGCGACGTGGGTGGACTAGATTCCATATTTGGTGTAAGGCAGTTCAGGAAAAGGAGAAAGCCGAACCAGGTTGTCTCAAGTCTGGTTGGATGAGACCTTCATTGCTTGCTTGGGATTTTCTTGCCATCTTATCCGACAAGCTTCTCTCGGCTAGAGGCAAGCATGCAGAAACGTCGCATTGCTAGATATCAGATGACCACGAATGTGAGTTGGCATACAGATCGAATAGCTACCGGGAGGGGAGACCGTTGGGGGATTCTAGCTAGGAGTTAGATGTACGGCCTACGCACGAGATATTCAAGAGGAGGCGACTTGGAGGTCCGTAGCTTCGTAGGTTCCCCTCATCTCAGGTATTTGTACACCCTGTCCGCCCGGTTGTGACGGAGCATAAGTACGCAACCCAGGCCCTTCAAGAGTCGTTTCACAACATGTTCTCCAAGATATTTGGCTGGGATCAAAAACAACAACAAGAAGATATGAGCCCTTTACCTGAGGAATTCGATATTATTGTTTGTGGTGGTGGTAGTTGTGGTTGTGTAATCGCCGGGCGGTATGTGATGCGTTTATTCGGAAGGTATTCGTATACTGACCCGACATAGACTCGCAAACTTAGACCATAACCTGAAGGTCTTGCTTATCGAAGCAGGCGAAAGCAACCTCAACAACCCATGGGTTTTCAGACCGGGGGTTTACCCCCGTAACATGAAGCTAGACTCAAAAACAGCATCGTTCTATGAGTCTCGCCCATCGAAGCATCTCTCGGGCAGAAAAGCGGTAGTTCCGTGCGCCCATGTCTTGGGAGGGGGTTCCAGTATCAACTTTTTGGTGAGTATATGTGCCCAAAAGAATAGAACACGCCGAGCTAATATGTCCCAGATGTACACGCGTGCTTCTGCATCAGACTATGATGACTTCCAAGCCAAGGGGTGGAGCACGAAGGAACTTCTCCCACTCATGAAGAAACATGAGACGTACCAAAGGGCCTGCCACAACAAGTTAGTCCGCCGATATTGATATCTAGAGAAATACTAACCAGAAAAGGGATCTCCATGGATTCGAAGGACCAATCAAGGTCTCATTCGGAAACTAGTAAGTCTAATACTGCCACTCAATATCGATGATCATAGGGCTAATCGTCCTTAAGCACATACCCCGTCAAGGATGACTTCCTAAGGGCGGCGGAGTCTCAAGATATCCCTTTCGTCGATGACTTGCAGGACCTAAGCACCGGCCATGGTGCTGAACACTGGCTGAAATGGATCAACCGCGACGTATGTCTTCTCATCTCCCTCCATCCTAGTCTTGTCGCTAATCGTATACTGGACTATAGACTGGTCGGCGTAGTGACAGCGCTCACGCATATGTCCACTCAACCCGTGCTGTACACGATAACCTGTACCTTGCTTGCAACACAAAGGTAGACAAGGTTATCATAGAGAATGGCAGAGCTGTGGCCGTTCAGACAGTGTAAGACTCAACCGACACGTTGGACAATATGTCAGGAAGCTAACCTGGTTCAAGTCCAACCAAGCCACTCCATCCCAATCAGTTAAAGACTCGAACCTTTAGAGCACGCAAGCAAATTGTCGTATCTGGCGGCACGCTTTCTTCCCCGCTCATCCTCCAACGATCAGGCATTGGCGACCCTGCGAAACTCAAAGCAGCCGGCGTCGAGCCGATTGTAGACCTCCCCGGTGTTGGCCTGAACTTCCAGGACCACTATCTAACCTTCTCCACATACCGTGCGAAGCCTGAGACGGAGAGTTTCGACGATTTCGTCCGGGGTGTGCCGGAGGTGCAGAAGAGTAAGCCTGCCTGTCTCTCTCACTCAAAGTCTACATCCCCTCGTGGTTCTAATGAAAGTATAGGAGTATACGACGAATGGGCGCTGAAGGGAACCGGTCCTCTCGCCACCAACGGTATCGATGCCGGTGTCAAGATCCGACCCACGGCGGAAGAACTGAAGGAATTCGAATCTTGGCCAACGCCACAGTTCAACGAAGGGTGGAAGTCGTACTTCAAGGACAAGCCCGACAAGCCAGTGATGCACTATTCCATCATTGCTGGTTGGTTCGGTGACCACATGCTAATGTAAGACACCCAAATCAAATACAGCAAGGCTCTCGACTAACCATCCAGGCCGCCCGGAAACTTCTTCACCATGTTCCACTTCCTAGAATACCCCTTCTCGCGAGGCTTCACCCATATCAAATCGGCCGACCCTTACGAGAGCCCAGACTTCGACCCGGGCTTCATGAACGACGAGCGGGATATGGCGCCCATGGTATGGGGGTACATCAAATCTCGCGAGACAGCGCGACGCATGGACGCATATGCCGGTGAAGTGCAGGCGATGCACCCATTCTTCGACTACGACTCGCCGGCGCGCGCCAACGACATGGACCTTGAGACAACGCAGCGGTACGCGCTCCCCGGAAACTTGAGCGCCGGTCTACAGCACGGTAGCTGGAGCGTCTTCAACCCGGCGCCGTCCAAGCGACCCGAGGCCAATATTTTGAACAGCAACAAGGCGGATGTGCGAGATGAGCTTAAGTATAGCAAGCGAGATATTGAGGCTGTTGAAGAGTGGGTGAGGAGACACGTCGAGAGTACCTGGCACTGTCTTGGTGTAAGTTTCACCTTTCCGCTTGAATCG